CGAGGGGGGAACCCGCGTTTTCGTTGGTTGGGACGGGAATTATGCCACGCCCCACAAATTTTTTTACGGATCGGCCGCGTTTGCGGTGTCTGGTCGGGCAGGATTTTTCGCGCAGACCCGTATTTTGATGGTTATTTTGCAAGTCACGACGTTATACGGGGTCTGCTAGAGATGTTCTAAGATGTCGAGCATAAGGTAGGCCCGTGCTGTTGTCCCCATTTGATTGTTTCAAAATTCCAAGGCACTACAATATAAGCTTGCAACAAATGTAATTATCAAAAAATTAAATGTATTTGACTCAAGTCAGTTTCATGGAGAGGAAAAAACGGTCATTCTGACTCCAATAAACCGAGTTATGGTTCTTGGCTAGCAGTCCCTATATTATGGTCTCAAAACATTAGGCGAAGTGGGTGAGATTTACATGCCCGGTCGAATCCCAAGCAAATGAATGTACAGGAGTCACAGTACAATGCTCTGGTTCCTGTGACCTGACCGCTAGTGCCACAGCGCCGCGCGGTCGAGCCCAACCCAGCCGGCACAAACCGTAGGGCGGGGGAGCACGCGCGGGCGCGCCCGGCGAGAAGAACGATCGATGAGAGGCGCCTACAAGGCGGCGTCGGCGACGCGGTCGGCGAACCGCTGGAGCGCCTCGCGCATCCAGAGGTGCGGGCAGCGGTCCATGGCGTCCTGCACGGTGACCCAGGTCCTGCCGCGGCCGGACATCTCGGGCCAGCGCTCCAGCTCGTCGGTGACGCGCAGCGGGAACATGTACCCCTCGTAGGTGGCCTCGTAGCGGCGGCTCTGGTAGCACCAGCGGCCGAGGCTGGGCCCCGTCTCGCCGCGCACGCCGGCCTCCTCCAGGGCCTCGCGGCGCGCCGCCTCGTCCATGGACTCGTCCAGCTCCCACCCGCCCTTGGGGAACAGCACGCCCGCGCTGGCGCCCTTCTTGCGCGAGCAGATGACCAGCACCTCCACCTCGCCGTTGTCGTCGCGCACCCGGTAGGGGATGCAGCCCACGACGATGCGGCCGCCCGTGCTGGCGCTGTACCGCTGCAGCTCGCGCCCCTGCCTCGCCGCCACCATCATCGCCGCCATCCAACGATCAATGACCCGCCCGGTGCTGTCGTCGGATGATTCTTGGAGCTCCACGGGGAGGGAGGAGGAGGAGGGAGAGGGGCTCTGTCTGAAATATGGAGGCCCGGTGGCGCTATCTTTGGATCTGCCGGTGGGAGGAGGAGCTGGAGCTGGATGGATTTGAGCCAGATGGGGGCGGGGATGCCGGGCTATTAATAGGATCTGCACGCGCGGCCTCTCCGGTGGGCCTCTCCGGTGGTGGTTGTGGTTGGCAGCGTCGTTGCCGAGTGAGGGAACGTGACAAAGGCGGGGCAGCTCGGGGACAAAAGGCGGGCAGGAGGAGGATGGATACGCCCGGCCAGGTGGCGCCTGGACGCGGTGCATGGGCGCTGCGTTGCGTGTGAATATCTATCTATCTACTATCTATCTATCTGGCTTCTGTTCCTGTGATGCTCCTCGTTTGGGCAGCGGTTCGAGGTTCTGGTGGTGGATGTGTACGAGCTTCCAGCTAAAAGTTTGCTTGTTTGGGCTCCCACCGGTTTGATCTAGAGTAGTATTTGACTTTGGCCGTTCAACTATTTATGGCAGTGCCTTTTTTTTCTAGAAGCCATGGAAATGACGTGCGTTTACACGATGAAAAGGAGAATACAACCTAAATGCTTGTTCATAAGTTGAGTTATTCAGTGATGAGCTGAACTGCTCTAGAAAAGAGGCCCAGAGAGTTGAAACCATGCCTCCGTACTACTTCAGGTCTTTTCAAGTTCGCTTGATTCTTGACATGAAAAGGTTTCTAGAAATCTCTTGCCATGAAAAGGTTTCTAGAACGAGACACCAAATTATACATGGGAATGCTCTGAGTCCTTGATTGTTAATTAAACTTTTTCAGTGAATATACTAAAAGACCTAAGGCGTTCACAAGGTAGAGTGCGAAGATATTTCCTCTATTCCAAAATAGATGTTATTCTGGATTTTGCGACGAGCAACTTTGATAGTTAGTCATCGAATATTGTAAAGGTATTTTCTTTTCATGAGAGATCAAGTGCTACAACTATTATGAAACAAATTAAAATGTTTTTCCTCCTATTAATTAGTTGTGATCAAAAGTCAAACGTACATATTTTATCTTTTTGCAAGACAAGATGCATTTTAAGATTGATTGTAAACCACCTTGTGGTTGGATGGTCAGAGGGACATCGGTATCTCCAGTCCACCGGAGTTCAAGTCATATACTCCTACTTGACATTGGTGTTCGTATTTTTCTGTATTTTTTTCAGGTATTCTGATGATGTGTGTTTAGTGGGAGGAGACGTTTTCACCGGCTACGAAGGCGTTTGACCGCGTTCAAGAAAAGAGATGGTTGTAGTAATTAGTGTCTCTTTTTTTAGCACTACCTCTGTTCCTAAATATAAGTCATTTTTAGATATTTCAATAAAAACTACATACGAATGTATATAGACATACTCCATTTTGTGGTGCCAAGCTGACCATAAAAGTGCGACAAATTCATTTCCGTAAGGCTGGTCATAGTGGGGAGTAACTTATACTAGTGTCATGCATATGCCACTAGTCTAAATTACTACCTTCATAGTGCAAAGTATCATAGTAGTAGTGTCATAGATTGTTTCATTTATTACCTTATAGATTTATTTTGCCTCGAAAAGCGCTATGTTACAGTAACATATTATGTGGGTATTTGTTTCAAGGGACTTTTTTGTGTAGGGATTAGAAAAAGTCCCTCTTAAAGACTTTTTTACCAAACGGGAGGGACTTTTTAGGGACTAAACTAGGCATTTGGGACTAAATGAAGAAGACTCTCAAGGAGAGTCTCTTTGAGACTTTTCCAATAATGCTCCTCCATGCACCCATTGGCCCGCCATCCCATGGTGTTGTTTAATTGTTATTTTTCTATATACTAGGGGCAACATGGTCATTTAATAACCTCTAGGAAGGGACTAGGGACTTTTTAGTCTCTGAAAACAAACAGGGAGGAACTTTTTAGGGACTAGAGACTTTTTAGTTGGGACTAAAAAAAGTCTTAGGACTAGAGAACTAAACACCACCTATGTTACTCCAAACACCTTTCTCATCATTAAATACTTGCCACATAAGTAAAATTGTCTTGGAGTGTGTTAAGTTACTACCTAAGTTACTTTCACTATGGCTAGGCTACCTAGCACGTACTAGTACGGCTACAATCAATTGTCAACCATAGAACGCACAGGATCTCCTCGTTGAATCCTTATCTGCGGCCAGCAAGGCCCCGCGGTCCATGGACCGCGCGCACGCGAGCGGGCGGGAGGTCGGACGAAGTGGGAATCAAGCGCGTAGGCTGGAGCATCTCCGGCTTCGCAGCTGCTTCTGTCCCTCCCCTTCCCGCTCCAGTCTCCCGGACGGCGCTCACGTCGGACTCCTCACGCGCCTAGCCCCCGCGCACGCGCTCCCCACTCTTTTCTTCCACTCCTACTCCCGTCCCGGCCCGTCCCGTCGCGCAGCCCATGCCCGACTGCTAAAACACACACGACGATGCCCTAAACAATCTAGTAGTAGTAGTAGCGCCCACGTTCATCAAAGTCCATCTTTTCCATCGCCCGTTCGCCCTTATCAGTCGCCTCTCGTTAGGTGCCCACCAGCACCAGGCAGGCTCCAGGTCCTATTCTATAACCGGAACCTAATTTCATCATTCCTCAGTGGAGGTTACATACGGTCTTCGATCATTACAGTGGAGGTTGTGGTCAGTGTGTACACGTACACGTCAAGCTCAGCTTTTTTCCGGTGGGCTGTGGCGCCGGTAAAAAAACTTGCACGCTGCGACCGGGTCCGAGAGAGCGAGAGAGATACTACTACCACTGTGCTTGCTGTCTCGGTTGAAACTCGAAAGGCGACGACGACGGAGCGCGTGGCCGTGAGGGCAACGGCAGCGCGCACGCACGCGTGGCACGGGGCGCTCCGCCTCCACTGCCTGGCCCTGGCGCGCGCGGCGGCGCCGCTCTGCTTTTGCTGGTCGGTGGTGGATTACTGCGGAATCTATCCGACTATCCGATCGAGACTGACTGACGTGGGTGCGCGCGTCGGTCGGTGCCGGAGGTCGCCGGCGCTGACCCGGGACGCCGCTGCCTCGTGCCACGCCAATGACGTGATACATTAATCATCCCGGAGGTAAGATGCATGTGCATGGCCGAGTAAAGTATCTCATCTTCTCTTCTCTTCTGACGTACGGGCAGGGCAGCACGGGGTTACATGGGAGCATGGGCCGGGCGGCGGCCGACTTTCTGACGACGCCGCCGACCACCCAATTGATCACCCCGTCGTCACCGCCGATCCCTAGGCCCTAGGGCTAGGGCCGTCACCAACCACGAGACGGCTCGACATTTTGCGCGGTTATAATAAACCGGCAGAAGCACCGCTGCGCGTGCTGACGGGTAGGATTAAATAAAGTAAGTAAATCCGTCGTCATAGGATAGGAAAATAAAATGGACAGAGGTGGTGCCGTGCACGGACGTGCCAGGCAGGCCGTAGGCCACTGCTTCTGCGAAGCGTATTTTGTTTTTCACGGCCGAAAGACCGTACCGCCGACACGCTCGCTCGTAAAGAAACCTGGACTCGTTCGTCTGCTTGTAAATCCACAGCTCATCTTCACGCAGTGTACAACGGGCCGTGCGCAGGTGCGTGGCTGTGGTTGACACAGCGGCGCCGTGTCCGATCTGCGTCATCTGGTCCCTCTGGCTGTGGTCCAGTACGCCACGCCCTCTCGCACTCGCCACCGCTTACGAGGTACAGTACTACTAGTAGTAGTAGGACACTCGGTCCGGTCGAGAGCCACGGCCGACGTCTCGTCGGCAGGGCCACCGCCCACAAACAGTGACGCACCGTCTCTTTTCTTTAGAGAACTCTTCTCCTTTTGCAGGTTTCTTTAGAGAACTCTTGATATATTCATCTTCCGTCAGGGTAATACAACGAACATCAAAAAATAAAAAAGATAATATCTAAATTCTTAGGCTAATTAGTTATGACTATAAACACTGAAGTGAGCCGAAGACGTGCCGTCGTCATCACCGCTCCACCTCCGGAGCCGGACAAAACTTGTTGAAGTAGACATTTGAAAAGTCGTCATGCTAAAACTCCATAGGACTAGTGCATCAGAACAGCAACTGCCACCAACGAAAAGACGCATAGATCGGAAGGATTCAACATAAAGACACACGAACGAAGACCGGATCCGAGCAGATCCATCAAAAACAACCGCCGACCAAATCCTGCGAGATCCATGAAAACATACAATCACACGTGTTCCGATGATGCTAGACGCACCATCGGAACAGGGGCTAAGCGTGAAGAACATACGTACAGTCTCTTCCCCGAAGAATTTTTGATCGTATAAAAAAGGACATGAATATCTGCTTAACGTTTGCTGGAAGAGAAATTGCCAACGAAAATGACATGCGGGTATCTTCAACGCCGACCCTTAAATTAAACACCATATTGATCACAGACCAGTGAGACTAATCAGCGGACACTGATGAACCAAGCGGAGAGGTGTTTAATACTGGCCGGCAGACGGATGGCGTCGGCATGCGGGCGCCTGACTAGGTTCTAGCAACTGAATTCTGTTCCGATCTAATAGAAATTTGTGACCGGTGTAAAATGCTGCAATGCTTGATATATGCATATAACATCTGCGTACATGCTGCCAATTTGCTTCCATCCACTAGCAAATACTCCCTCCGTAAACTAATATGAGAGTGTTTGGATCACTACTTTAGTGATCTAAACATGTAGTGATCTAAACACTCTTATATTATTCCCTCCGTTTCAAATTACACGTCGCAGAAATGAATGTACCTTGAACTAAAATATATCTAGATACATCCATTTTTGCGACAAGTAATTCGGAACGGAGGAAGTAGGTTACAGAGGGAGTACATCCTAATATGGATTGCATACAGAGCAAAATGAGTGAATCTACACTCAAAATATGTCTATATACATCCGTATGTAGTCTATATTGAAATAATTAAAAAGACTTATATTTAGAAACGGAGGGAGTAGAACATAATTACAACATTAGTATGGGAGATCTCACATGCACTGCAAGCTCCCGGTCAAAAGGCACTCTGCAGCATTGTAGCATTCTCCTCGGCAATATGACTGCAATCTGGTGCAACAAAATAATGTCTGTCTAATAGAAATGTCGATGAAAAAGAAACCACCCAAGAAGCAGCACACATTGACCGAAGCACATACGCGTCGTGGTTGAAACACAACGTTTCTACAATAAAAGAAGCATATAATGACAATGGTTGAAACAAAATAATCACTGCTATACAGATATTTGCCACTAATAAAATCAGAAAAGACGGTAACACAAAGAAATATATTGTTGCTGTCACAACATATATGACATGCATGGTTAGTATAGTAAAATTGATTTTGCAAATTGGTATGCTTGCTGTGCAAAATTTAGGTGCAGAAATTTGTCGTTCATTAAACATTGCTATTTTACCGAAAATACCATCTCTACGTTAGAAGCACACCGCAGAAATCAAGGAACCATGATTGACAAGAAGTGAAAGCATATGTATATAAATTCGCAAATTTACATGTTCGCGGCAGAGCATTCGTACATTAGAAGCACATCCGAGGAACCACAAAGTCATTGACTTGTGGGTTTTTTAAATTTTCCATGCACCCATACCCTTTGCATGTTCTTGCCATTCTTTCGATTCACTGATCTGACACAGCAGTATTCCAGCTCCAACTGCACACAGATAATAAGTAAATACATGTGAGCGTCATATAAGCTGTAGACACGTATTGAAAAATGAAACTGAAGCAAATAACAAAATTAAGGAAATGAAAAGATTAAGTATTAATTAGATAAAGCAGGGCAATTTTAGAAGCTTGTAGATGAAATTTGGGATTGGAACCATATTTTGTTTAGTACAAGTCTATAACTCCAAACTAAGGCATAAAGAATAATTTTGACATACAATTATGGTGCATTAACTATGATCCACACAAAAGATAATGTCAGCAAACATACGGAACAATCAACAAATCATGCTTATATTGTTCGCTGACAGTTGCATACTATTAAGGAACACAGAGGGTGTAAAGGGATAGCTCAGATGCTAAAAGCCTGATCAGGGTGACCCTGGACCTACTGTGGTGGTATATAGGGACAGATAGGAACTTAATATATTCCTTGTGATAATGGTTTATTTCAATAGCCAGTCCCTAACAACAGATATCTAGAAGACAACTGAATACAACGACTCTACAAGATAAAACGAATAGATGAAATGAAATTGGCAACTAGATAAAACTGTCCTGTGCATGGACATCTTGATGTGCCTGATGCAGGTGCCACTGACTCAGTACTGTTCAAAGTAACCTTCCATATTAAATCATTGAGATTTTAGAGTTACCTCTAGTAGCCCAGCAGCATGAAAGAGTTCTCTTACAGTGTCCAACGAGAAGAAATACGAATAGGTGCCATCAGCACGCATATATTCCCGAAATCCCACTCTTTGGTGAGGCAAGAATCGAAGCATTGTCATGTCATAAACGCCTAATATGGAAACAAGAAGATTTGTCAAGAAGGGATTGTTTATAAGTAAATTATACAAGTTAATACCATGCCTGAGATGTTACCATAATCCCTGAACAAAATAAGGCCGCCTGGTTTTAGAACAGACACACAACGCTCTAGAGTAGCTGAAATTGTGTTGAAGGGTATGGCTGACAACGTAAATATCTGTCAACGAAAAGACAGTATTATTAACCAAGTATAGATGTGGGCACCAATATGAGGGTTTGGATTTCCCATTTAATACATCCAAAATTATAATATTTATTATAACTTCTGCAAATAGAAATCCGATCACACCATGATGTCAATTTTAAAAGTATAACTGAGCTGAATCTAATGCTGATGCAGATGCTCTGGCTGAAGGGAGGGAGAATGATAGATGGTAGAACAAAATTCACTAACCATGGTGATAAAATCTATGCCGCCAACACAACACTGATCTTCTTTCAGCGAGATTGAGTTTTTCCCCCTTACATAAAGATGAATTGAATCTGGAAGGAGCGACATAGATGAGTTCAATATTATGCAATTTTTTTGCTTTGAAATAGACAATATATAAACAAAGTACCTGGTGAGAGATCAACAACCTTTCCATCTGAACTTTGACAACATTTGCAGAACAACCAACCTGGAAAATTTTCTCTAGAAACATCCAGCAAAAAAGGGTGGAACCTATCCTTGGCATCTACCCCCTGTGTATTACACACAATCTCATTTGCTTTCTCTAGAGTGTCTTCACTACAATCACAAGCATAGACAGTGATGCTTGGACTACATCTGCACAAATTGTTCATTATGACTGTCATCATCATTAGCAATAGTCCTTGTGTGTTCACAATAAATGTTCATCGACTACGAAACAACGACTACTCGCAACTTTATTCTATCCGTGTGTTTTGCTCTAAATGCCTTAAAGAGATATGATCAGTGCCGTAAGTGTGCAAACTGCAAAAAGAAAAGAAAAGGTCCGCATTGCATGCAATAAACTTAAAGGGAAGGGAATTGCCAGGGTTGGCACACCGAAGTATTAAATAATAAGAGTTCAAGCACCATGGGTCGTGGGCAAACAAAGAACGGCGCAAAAATGTTATGCTTCAGGATCATATATGCACAGGCATCTTGCAGCCTCTGCTGGTTTCATCCGGACCTAGACAGTAGTAACTATTTACTTCATCGAAAGGCCTCTCTTGCCTAACAAACATCTTGTGATTTTGGTGGTCATTTATTAATAACTGCTCACCCCTTAAGCATACTCTTTGACAGCTCTGCATGATTTTCTGAGCATTCCTCAAAATGCGTAAAAGGTTCATCGTACGCCACAACCCACAAGTCTCAATATCAGATAGCCAAACAGAGTAGCTGCTCAATTGCAGATGGGCTCTGTTAACCACCTCAATTTGATTGCCAAACAGAGCAGCTAAACCAATGTCTAGAGGGATATAGTCATTGTTCAGTGCACTCAGGTCCAAAGAATTTGGACCAAATACTAAACATGAGCTGATTAAGTGGGCGGATGTGCTAGCATCTATCCACGGCAATTTGGAAGGATGGCTCGAGCTCCATAGGCAGTGACTACCAGTATAAGCCAAGGGCGGTGTATTGTATTTTTGTTTTGAGCTATACAGTAGAACAAAGCCCCACTGCAACTTTTCTTTATTTATATATGGTGTGTTGTATTGGACTGAACCACTAATATTGCAATTGCATCCCCAATCCCCTTCCTTCCTCTTGAATCTACTATGTTTTTCCTGAATCTTCACTTTGATCTCCCTCTTCCTCAAAGTCGTCCCTCACGATCTTTGCATGTGCCTTGATAAATGGTCACATTCAAAGCTAGCGGGCTTGCGGCTATAAGACTACTGCAATATGATACAATAAATATTCTGCATTGAGAGAACCTATTAGCAATAGATTGATTTTACTGAAATGAAATTACAGATCCGAGAACATTACCGTAGAATGGGGACAACAGTGCTTCCATTCCCACACCCAACCTCTAAAACCTTTGCACATCCTTTGCTGTTAAGCAGTTCAGGAAATTCCTTCAGCAAATACCTTCTTTCCTAACAAAGTGAGATGGGATCTTAAATTGATTTGCAGGAACAAATGATATGAACTCGTCAGTTCTTCCTACTCAAAGTCCTACTACATTAGTTCACATACATATTTGCCTAGCAATCAATAAGGTGATGTATAACACTTTAATTTGATTTTTCCAAAGCTTATGGGTAAACAAAAAGCAGAAAATGAAAAAAAAAATGCACAAGACCAAAATTGATCATCTAACACACAGGTTGCGACATGAGAGCCGTGGTTAAAAACCTACCGTATTATTTTTTCAAAGCTAAACGAAGATGTATTTTGTCAATCCCCCTAAGTTCAGTCTGCTGTAGATAGCAACACCGTATCTCTATAAATATCGCTAGTCTTGATCCATACTAACAAGATGCTGCTGACACGAGAGTCCTTGGTGTACATATTGGTATACCCACATGGCCACTTCATACATTATCACCTAGTAAAAGTTCCCATTCCATAAGAATGAACAAACGGACAATCTTCTGGTATTTGCGAATTTGGTGATAATGGTAGAGAGTGTCGAACACTGCTACTCAGGAAATAGTTTCATTCTAATTGCTCATTCGACGCTTTAGTTATAGTCTGTCTTCACTCATGAAAAAAATGGGAAGGAAAGTAATCTAGTCTCCCTTCTCTCGCCTTGTGGAGCACACATGCACTGTTACTTTGATGGTGCTTTGTCTAGCTGCACGGCTTAACTCCAAGGAGTGCAGTCGTTTGCCCGATAAAGAAATGCAACCTTGCACTAGTCCATGAATCTGAACATTCTCTACCAATGTGATCTAGTAGTTCATATACCTACCGAATTGATAGGTGAAATACAATAAGAAGGTATTTCGCACAAGGGGCCGAGGAGAGAAGGGGAAATAAGGAACCTTGAAGAACCTGCCGGAGGCGTGGCGGCGGTGGAAGCTTCTCCAGGCCTCCGATGACGGTGGCTGCGGTGAGGCGGTGGTCGTGGGGAAAGGGGACAGGTGGTAGGAGAAGGAAGGGTTGGCTTCCACATCCGCCCGGAGGTCCTCCCACTCGAAGTCGTGGCAATGGTACTCGGCCTCCGCCTCTTTCTTGGTGATCCCCAGTTCACCACCCCCGTCCATGGCAGTCACCGTCTTTCTTCGCTGCGACCGAACTCGCCTCAATCGGGGGCGGCGGCGCTGGGTCGGCGATGAGGACTAAAGAGATGCAGGGGAGAAAAGAACTGGCTGGCTGCGCGGTAACGAGGAAACGGCGCCGTCGGCCAGCGAGGCCAAGATTGGAGAGCAGGAGCGTCGGAGGTGGGGGGCAGAGCAAGTGGAGTAGATCGGTAGGTTCAGGTCGAGAACATATCCGGTGAAACGTTCAGGGTCATATGAAATGAAATGTCATGCATCTCATTCTAGGAAAAAAAATGTCATTCAATTTATACGATATGAATCTTTTAATTAGGTTTGAGTTTTCTTTTTTGAAATGTGAAGAATCAGTACAAATTCTACATAGAAATATGAATCCTTTCTTACAAACCAAAGAGATTTTTATTCACAAAAAAAAAACCAAAGAGATTTGAAGAAATAAAAATTCTAAATGAATCCTATAATATACAATTCTAACAAAATTCTTGTAAATCAAAGGAATACCATTTTCTCATTTTGATAACCGTTAGATCGAGGAACCGGACACACCAATAGATCACATGGCATGTTGCTGGAGCAGCGGATCCGGCCCAATGAGTCAAGGAGGGCCAAATGTGATATTGCTCATATAAACTTATCTTTGTAATATTTTTTAACTTTTATTTGTTATGATATAAAGGCTGTTGGCAAATTCATCACTGGTTTGCAGTATCCGCTACTGAGTTGCTGCAACGGTTTATGTATCGCCGACTTCATCACACATTTGTGACGGTTTGCGTTTCGACAATTGATGACGGTTTGCATTTCTTTTTCCGGGGTGATGCCCTAACTGTTCGGATGTTGCCTTTCTACCAGCAGCTTTCAATTTCAATTTCAGACTTAGACAAGTACAATTTGTACATATGTGTTCTCCGGGGCCTTTAGGGCGGACTATCCGGATGTGCAAGTTCCGCATAAAATGGCTAGTTTCCAACCCCATCTATGAATACCCCTTCCCACTTTGGATAGGGTACTCCTTGTTCATTCTATTCCGGATCTACTTCGTCCAAGCTTTCTCCACTCTCTGCCAACCCTAATCATTTGATTTTTTGTAGAGATTTTGGAGTGGAGCTAACTCTAGCAAGGTCCATCCATTACCCTCTGTTTGACCATTCACTTTCTTGTTTGAGCAAGATTTGAAGCTTTACACTTGTCTTGTTATTCTTGAAAGTTGGAAACTCCTGGGTGGTAGGAGTCATCGATGAGAATCCGAGCTTATTGATATCCCCGGAGTTTGTATGGATTTTGTGGCCACCCCAAGGTCAACAACTAGTGGTTGAGCATCGCCTTTGTAGTGGTGGCTCAAGAAGAAGAGAATGGGTCTTTGTGGTGTTGGGAATCCTTTGTGGTGGCCCCAGCTCTCAAATGACGATTAGCTTCCCTTTAAAGAAGTGAACATTGGCATACATCTTCGTCTCTGCATGACTTGGTTATCTCTATACGTGATCTTTGTCACTTGTTATTGTTTATCTTTGGTCATGTAACCTTGCAAGTGTCATATAAGTTGTCCTCACCATAGTTACATCAAGGTATCCTTATATTCCACCAAGCCTAACTTGTAAAGAAAAGGAGCTAAAATGTGTAGAAGACCTATTCACTCACCCTTTAGGTTACTCGACCCTTTCAATTGCTATAAGAGCCAAGGACTCTTTCTAAGGGCTTCACCGCCTTAAGAGTGTGATGGCCGAGAAAAAGGTGTGGCCAGAGAATTCTAGCCAAGCCATGAAGATTTACTCACCCGCCGACATACATAAAATGATGTTAAATTACCGAAAAAGGGTTTTCCCCCGCTTTGTATTCCAAAGCAAACCATCATTGTACATATCACAATACTGGGGCGAGCAGCACAACATGCCCAAATAAAAAGGAGAAGAAAAAAATGCCAACATCGCAAACTCGACAAAGCGCGGAAGACCCACGACCGCTGCGTCGTCCGGAACCAAACCACCACAGCCCGAGGCTCCGATCTACCGCGAACTAAGCAGCACCTCTAAGAAGGGATGCGACACCGACGATGCTGCTGCCCGGACAAGTCCTAGGGTTTCCCCCAGTACGCGGAGGGAGGTGGGGGATAGCTACTCCCGACACCCTCTAAGAAGGGATAGTGGCACCCGCCGGTGTCACCGCATCGGAGCCGGATGAACCAGCAAGGATTTCTCCCGCACGCCAAACCCCACCAGCCAATCAGAGCCAACTAGTCAAACCATCGCCCAACTATGTGCCATCACGGTTGCGCCATCACCAACACTGTCTCGCTGCGAACACCACCACGAGGCCAAGAAGACCGGAGAGAAGATCCGAGCGATAGGAGCAGCAGCATCAAGGCCGAACGAGAGGGAACCACCTCCACCGCCGTCGTGCGGTAGCCGTCCGGACACGGCAGCGGGGCATACCAAGCCACCCCTAGCCCGGCCAGGCCCGAAACGGGCCCGCTAAGCCCCGCCGGCCACGCTGCAGCAAGCTGGTGTCGACGCCGCCAGCAACCCGCCGATCATCACCGCTCGCCACCGCCTCCTGAAGGCCACGCCGATGCCACACCTGTCGCCGGCCCGCCCCGACCAAGATGGAGCCCGAAGGGCCCAGATCTGGGCCGGGCAGGCGCTGCCGCGCTGCCCCGCCGCCAGTGGCACCGCCGCCGCCCAGAGTCCGCCCCCGCCTGTGACAGGACACCCCGCCGTCGCGCAGGACCGCCGCCGCCTGAAGACACCGCCCGGAGCCGCTCCGTCCCACGCCGGAGAAACCCTAGACGGGGAAGGGCCGGGGGCCGCCGCCACCAACATCGCCCGGGCCAGGCCCGAGGCGGGCGCCGGCGACGGCGGCAGGGAGGAGGAGGAGGGAGGGGGACGCGCGTGGGGAAGGAGGGAAGGCGCGGCCGGCCGCCCGCGGGGGCGGCGCAGTCGCGGACGAGAGAGGATGTCCAAGCTCTTTTCCAAATTCATGATGTTAGATTATAGCGTCGAAACGGGCAATCACCAACATAGTTGTGAAACTCTTCTCTTTCGTTCCATAGTGGTGACGCTTCTGCCTCACAAACGGTAGAGACTCCAATCAAGGTCGATAGTGGTGTTCCTGCACCTATCTACAAGCAAGCCAGTTGGAATTACACACCACCACCACCACCTTCTGCCCCTCAACATTACTATGTTGGCCCTCCACTTGTCTTTAAGAGATCACACTTTGCTCATTGCAAAATTTATATGAAGTCTCACATTTAGCTCGTTTCTGATGCTATGGGAGATCGTGGTGCGAGGATTAATCTGGTTGATGTCAGAAATTTCTCATGGCCCACTTCTCCTACTCGAAAGGACGCCTTCCCTCGAGACCCTTTGTGTCCACATCGACCCGTCCTTGGAGGAGCCTGGTGATGAGATGCCTTGGTGGTCGACCTTGCTTCGGCAAAAACTGAAGGAAATATGCCCTAGAGACAATAATAATGTTATTACTTTATTTCCTTATATCATGATAAATGTTTATTATTCATGCTAGAATTGTATTATCCGGAAACATAATACTTGTGTGAATACATAGACAAACTAAACGTCACTAGTATGTCTCTACTTGACTAGCTCGTTAATCAAAGATGGTTATGTTTCCTAACCATAGACATGTGTTGTCATTTGATTAACGAGATCACATTATTAGGAGAATGATGTGATTGACATGACCCATTCCATTAGCTTAGCACCCGATCGTTTAGTGTGTTGCTATTGCTTTCTTCATGACTTATACATGTTCCTATGACTATGAGATTATGCAACTCCCGTTTGCCGGAGGAACACTTTGTGTGCTACCAAACGTCACAACGTAACTGGGTGATTATAAAGGAGCTCTACAGGGGTCTCCAAAGGTACATGTTGGGTTGGCGTATTTCGAGATTAGGATTTGTCACTCCGATTGTCGGAGAGGTATCTCTGGGCCCTCTCGGTAATGCACATCACATAAGCCTTGCAAGCATTGCAACTAATGAGTTAGTTGCGAGATGATGTATTACGAAACGAGTAAAGAGACTTGCCGGTAACGATATTGAACTAGGTATTGAGATACCGACGATTGAATCTCGGGCAAGTAACATATCGATGACAAAGGGAACAACGTATGTTGTTATGCGGTCTGACCAATAAAGATCTTCGTAGAATATGTAGGAGCCAATATGAGCATCCAGGTTCCGCTATTGGTTATTGACCGGAGACGTGTCTCGTTCATGTCTACATTGTTCTCGAACCCGTAGGGTCCGCATGCTTAAGGTTTCGATGATAGTTATATTATGAGTTTATGAGTTTTGATGTACCGAAGTTAGTTCGGAGTCCCGGATGTGATCACAGACATAACGAGGAGTCTCGAAATGGTCGAGACATAAAGATTGATATATTGGACGGCTATATTCGGACACCGGAAGTGTTCCGGGTGATTTCGAAGAAAACCGGAGAGCCAGAGGGTTACCGGAACCCTACCGGGAGAAGTAATGGGCCATATGGGCCTTAGTGGAGAGAGAGAGGGGCAGCCAGGGTGGGCCGCGCGCCTCCTCCCCCTGGTCCAAATTGGACTAGGAGAGGGGGGGCGGCACCCTCCTTTCCTTCTCCCTCCCCACTTCCTTCCCCCTCCTAGTAGGAGTCCTACTCCTACTAGGAGGAGGACTCCTCCTTGGCGCGCCTATAGGGCCGGCCGGCCTCCTCTCCTTGATCCTTTATATACGGGGGCAGGGGGCACCCCTAGACACACAAGTTGATCCACGTGATCATATTCTTAGCTGTGTGTGGTGCCCCCTTCCACCATAATCCTCGATAATATTGTAGCGGTGCTTAGGCGAAGCCCTGCGACGGTAGTACATCAAGATCATCACCACGCCGTCGTGCTAACGGAACTCTTCCCCGACACTTTGTTGGATCAGAGTCCAGGGATCGTCATCGAGCTGAACGTGTGCTAAAACTCGGAGGTGCCGTAGTTTCGGT